AAGTACATGATAGACGTTTTGTATGACAAATAGACAGTGTACTTAGAAATAAAATATTATTCAAGTATAATTGATTGGAAGTCACTACTATTTTGTTTTGACAGTTATTGAAACATCATAGGATTGGTTATTGTTGATAAAGATTTTGATTGATGGAAAGAAGTGTAAAGATCTGGGTAGAAATGTATTCTGAATTTTGGAAGGTAGAATAAGCATTTTAGTTGAAAATTATTTTGTCTCTTGAAAAGTAGAACAAATGTTTAAAAGTTAATAATTGAATTATTTGTTGTGATTGTTTACAGCCACGAAAGTTTTAATAATTGAATTATTTGTTGTGATTGTTTACAGCCACAAAACTTTTAATTCAATTATTAAAACTTTCGTGGCTGTAAACAATCACAACAAATAATTCAATTATTAAAACTTTCGTGGCTGTAAACAATCACAACAATTAATTCAATTATTATTTGTTGTGATTGTTTACAGCCACGGAACTATGATGTAATCCTCTTCTAACAACGTCCTCTGGTGTATAACACTCGAACTCTGATACCACCCCTAGCAACGCGTTCTCTGGTGAGACAAAATGTAGCTAAAACGTCATCACCTCTTACCCTACTCTAGTAACGCGCCCTCTGGTGCCAATGTATGTAGAAAGTAAAAAACACTAACTACGTGACACATTATTATATTTACAAAGTAAAAAACACTTTAAATGTGTGTCACATTTGTATTTCTAGACAGTAAAAATAGCTAACTGTATGTCAGATTTTTATATATAGAAAGTAAAGCAAGCGTCAGAGGTTTTATTAAATATGGACATTTCTTTGCAATGTACAAACGTCAAACTCACTTAACATTCTATTTCTAACTTTAAAGAGATCTGGGAAAATGTTCACTATACATAAATGTACTGTAACGCAAAGATTAAAGTTTTTGTTTGTTTTTTAAGTACAAAATTATTCCATTAAAAGCTACACACTGATAAAATATTATTGTCTTGACCGAGTTCTAAACAAATACTTTCTTTGTCAAAAAGTACATGTCTCTTTCGTTAGAAACTTTGAGATATTTGTGGTTTTGGACATGTTGAAATACCATTTATCTCTTCAGTTACTTGATCTGAATCATGTAGTCACCATTTTATTTAATTAGTCGTTTTTCTTTAATAGATTCCGAGATTAAGTCTCAACAAGGAAAGGATGAACAGTAATCATCCACCAGGGGCTGAAACCAGTTGAAACAAACCTGATTTTCATAGAGCATTCTATAAAATAACGATATATTTAGTTGTGCAGAAACAGTACTTGTGAAAATTCCCCTCTTCCCGGTTGTTCCCCTCTTCTTACTCTATCACTCCAGATTTGTAAAGTAACATTACATAAAT